ATCAGCCTGTTTTCAAGCCCCAAGAATGTTCATTTTCCATATGCTCCCCAGCTGGCCACCAGTGCAATCTCGTAGAGGTTAACCTTGTGTTCAGGAGCATTCTATTGCAGGCATTACCTTTCCTTAAAAAAATGCAATGCCTCCGTGGTTAGGATATCAAAGCAGCCATGCCCATGCACACGCATGCATGCCCACCCATTCATATGTCTCATAAACATCATCAAACTCATTAGGCCATGTTTCACAATTTCCCAGTAAATGCTTATGTTTTCTTGCCACATAGATTTCTATAATTTACCTGGCAATGTCATTACTAAACTGCAACAATTCAACCCAGCCCAACTTATTGGTGGTAGCTGGTTCCTAGCAGAAAAGGCTCTTGACATCCTTGGACTTTTCGCCTTCTGCACACTTCCTTGCTCCTCCCATCCCTGGCCCCTACAACAGGCACATCTGTGCTTGTTTCATTGGCCTGCCATCTACCCTGCAACCAAACAGAGGCCAAGGACTGTAGGAGACAAACCCATAGTCCCTCAGAGTGCTTCTAACCTGTTTGTGGCTCTGCTCATTCAAGCTGGGCCAATCTCCATCTGAACCTAAAGCCAGGGGGCTGTGTCAGCACAGAGGCGTCTGCATCTCAGCTTGCTGTGAAACAAGTGTGCTTTTTGAGAAGCCCACTTGCCTACTATAATGTGAGCAGGGCGCGTGTAAGGAGTTTGAGTGTCCTTAGATTTGGGGGTGGGGACTTTGAGAAAGAAGGTTAGGCTTGAGACGGTTCCAGTTGAATCCATCTTCAGGGATTGAGGCTGGTCCTGGTTGTGGAACAGAGCCTGTGCGAGGCCCTCGGGCCAGGGTTGTGGAGGGTGGGGTGTTTGTTGTGGATAGTGGCCGCTTCCCCAGGCTTCGGAGCACCATCACTGAGGCAGAGCCTATGTTGCAGCTGAGCAGAGCGGGAGCTCAGCGAGGCAAAGCCTGGCTTCGCTGGGGAACTGGCATTGGCTTTGTGCACCTGGGACCATCAGTGTTTGAAGCCTGGGCAGGGGGTGCATCTTCCTGGTGAAGCCAGACAAATCTCCAGGTAGCCATAAACTGACTACACAGCCTTCATGCCTGAACACATGTTCAAAAGCGATAAAATAAATGCAGATGGCTTCTCCAAGCCTCAGTGGAGGACTTTTACATTGACTAAATGAATGGTAAAGCACAGATAAACACACATGTGCTCATACACAACACAGGAAAGGGAACAGCAACAGAAAAGTCCTCAGAAATACCAAACCCTAAAACACCAGCACCAGCCTAGAGGAAGCATGGTTGAATATGAGAGAGAGACGGGGGCTGAGAGATGGGAAATTCAAGAGCAGAGCCGTGCTGTAACTCACAAGGAGGAACCAAAGTATACACGCATGCATACGCACACTCGCACACGCACGCTTCAGAGAAGCACGCAGGCAGAACTTCTGGCAAAAAATTAAGTTTCACTGCTTGGAAGGGTTAGAAATACCTTCCCTGGTATGTCAACTGTGGATTAAAGGCCTTGTCACTAAGACCGGGCCAGCGGTTTGGTTGAAGAGACCAGCAGAAAGGAAATGGACAAATGCTATCCTAAGGTCCACCTCCCTTAAGGTCCATGATTAATGCATGTTAGTTATGACTAATCCTCCACCACAGAGCTTGGAAAGTCCCACCAAAATTCCAGACTGAGGGGTCCTGCAAACCCTGCAAAAGCTCATCATTGTCGTCGTCATCATCATCATCACTGAAGGAGGCTTCTAACGTGCCAGGAAATGGATGATTTTATTAGATTGCCAAACAATCTTATGAAGCAGGCACTATCCCCATTTTACAGACAAGTAGACAAAGGCTCAGAGAGATCAAGTAACAAGCTCAACGTCACAGTCTGTAAGTGGGGAGAATTTGAGAGACTCACATGCGGCAGAAAGGAGTCCCATCAGTAGGGAACAGAGCTTCTCACCATAGAATTCATTAAGGAAGTGAAGATTATCCGTCTGGACTCTGCCCCTCCCTGCAATAGAATCTCATGATGCTGAAAGTCCCGGTTGGGACAAGGGAGTTATTCAAGGTCATGCAGCTATTCTCAATAAAGCTGGCCCACAAACCATTTTCTCCTGTGCACTCAAGTTCGTCACATTGCAATACACCTCTGCTTAATGAAGCCCCTGCAAGAAACTAAGCAATAAGGGAAGATAGACAGTGGAGTTTCCCAGGAGCCAGATACTAGCCCTCCAAGCCTCTCCTATCTCAGAGATGGGTTTAACCTTCAACCAAGCCCAATGACAAATGTCTACATTGGATAGAAATAGGCCTTCTATCCACCTCGAAAAGGCTCTGCCCTGGGTCCAAAGCTAACAGGCTGACTCTGACAGCATCTGAATAGTTACTGAGATGGAACTGGGTAACGCTGTATTACCCTGCCCCTCTGAATTGGAGAGGCTGAGCCGTCAGATGGCCGGCAGCCCAGAGTTCCCTTTGGGAATATTTGTCTCATCCCGAGGTCTCTTCTCCTCAGAGCTGCACCCGCCCAGAAGCACGCTCCTCCAGACTTGCTCTGGACAAGCTAGCAAACTCCTTGCATTCCAGGCAGAGCTCAAGACTCAGCCCTACAAGTCTTTCGGGTCAGCGCCTGGCAAGGCTGGGGTCTGGGGTCCCTGTCACTGAAGCCCATCTCCCTCATCAACCAGACCACCCTCTACCGTTCAGAAGTTCCAGAAGAGGACCTTAAGGGCTCCTCAACTGCAGGCCTGAGGATAGAAAGAAAGACCCTATGATAGGCAGGGGCAGTAGCCTTTGCGGCAACTCCTCAACAGGTTTCTCCAACTTTCCAGAACCCACTGTTAACCAGAGCCATAAAACTCCTTCTTTATGTTCCTGTCTTGCTTCTGCAGCGCAGGCTAAACAACTGGGACTCAAGCTCTGTAGACGCCCCCCAGCTGCAGTGTCCCTCAGCCTGCTGTTTTAGGGGTGGAGGGCTTACTAGAAACCCAGAAAAATGGTCACTTTGAAATGATGAGCACCTGATAACTAGGCTTGGGCCAGTCGTAAGCCTCTCATTGTCCTATCCGCTGGGTTATGTGTTCTTGATGAAGCCTCAGTGAAACAACAGGACAACAGTTCTCATGCAGAAGGCTGTGCTTTTCCTGTCTGTAACACCCACTCTGAAGTGTGATGCTGCTATGTGGGAGAGGCAGAGACCAGTGTCGAGGGGTCAGGACTGTGCCATCGTTGCCACACAGATTTCAATCTTCACGCTGCCACTCACTTACTAAATGACCATGGGCAAGTTGAACCCACTGGCCTCAGTTTCCTTGCCTGTAAACTGGAGATGATGCTGGCTCCCTCAAAGGATTTGTGACAGTTAATGGCGGCAGGGTTTGAACATGCGTGGCCCATGATGGGCACATGGTCAATTCCTTATTTCCTGCCCCCATATTTTCGGCATCCAGGATCAAGTGCAGCGTGATGATGTTCCTAACTAAGCCCACTGCTATTTGCTGAGTCTATTTTAAAAGTTCATGTTCCATAAAGGACACATTCCATACAGGTGTGTGCTAAGGAGATGCCGGTGCATAGGCTGCTTGAGGTAAGAGCACACGTGGCCCTGATGAAGGCCGGGCAATGCAGGTTGGGCAGGGGACAGGGCAACAGGGCAGTGCTGGATTAGCAGACACCCTGTATCTCCACCAAGAGGGAAGAGAAGCGTCCTTATGTCCAGCCCCAAGAGGATGAGCTGCTTCCCAGTGGGAAATGGGCATCAACAAACGCCTGGACGGACATCCCTGGTGTCCCCTAAGTCCTGCCTGGGCATGACAGGTGAGGCCATCACCACAGCGACCCCTTGCTTGTCATGAACTCCTGCTGGGACTCAGAAGGCATCAAGAAGGTCCCTCACATTTGGGCAGTTTACATCTTGAGGGGATGGGAGGGAATGGGTGAAGCACTTGCATTCTTAAGCGCCTGCTCCATGCTAGAAAGCTTTAGGGTTGTAAACTGACTCTTCAGGATTCCTGGGACATAGGCAAGGACCCCCATTTGGCTCTGACCCTAGGAAGCACAGGCTCAGAGAGTCTCTAAAACCCTGACGAGCTCACAGAGGAGGAGCTGGAACTTGAATCCGTATCTGACTCCAAAGCCCGAACACTTTCCAACTCTGCTCACACTTCTCGAAGGAGCTGCCAGATGAGGAGGGGTGGCCACAGGCTGAGAGTCAGTCACAGGTAAATTTACCCTGTATGTATAGATTATTCACAATCCATTTCAGTTTGCTTCTGGGTAATCATGAAATTATTCTGTTACAAATAGTTAAAAAAAAAATTCCTGTGTGCCTAAGATGAAAACCACTTGCAAAATACAAAACAAAAACCAAAGCCAAAAAAAAAAAAAAAAAAAAAATAAAAAAACCCCAAACCCCAAAACAACAAATGTGCTGCAAAGAAACCTCCAAAACTAAAATTGCCAGGGTTGTTGTTATTGTTCCAGGATCATAACATTGGAGCAAATCATAATGCTAATTTTCTAAGCTAACAGCAGAGAATTTGATATAGAACTTTCTGGCCAGAGATACACGGTATCATTTTCAGTGGAGGCCAGAACGGTTCTTTTTTTTTTTTTTTTTTTGAGACGGAGTTTCACTCTTGTTACCCAGGCTGGAGTGCAATGACGCGATCTTGGCTCACCGCAACCTCCGCGTCCTGGGTTCAGGCAATTCTCCTGCCTCAACCTTCTCAGTAGCTGGGATTACAGGCACGCGCCATCATGCCCAGCTGATTTTTTGTATTTTTAGTAGAGACGGGGTTTCACCATGTTGACCAGGATGGTCTCGATCTCTTGACCTCGTGATCCACCCGCCTCGGCCTCCCAAAGTGCTGGGATTACAGGCGTGAGCCACCGCGCCCGGCCCCGGTTCTTTTAATTAATTAACCCAACATTAAATGTACCAGAAGAGGGATGTAACTGTGTTTACACACAACTCTGACATCATCTGATTTTAACAAGTTTACTAAAACGACAGTCACGGCCTTGACAATACTGAATGCAAAATACTGGTGTACACAGATTTTACAGAGTGACTCCTGAGAGCCAGATCACAAAACAAGTTTTAACAGATGGGAGAGGCCCGAGGGAAGGCAAGCACACTGATTTTATTGAGAAAAAAAGCTTATATACTGTAGGGTTGCTGAAGTTTAATAAATAAAGGTCAACTTATAATATATAAAAACAATATAAACATTTATATGCTACATGCATATCATATAATTTAAAGTAATAATTTATATACGGGGAGAGATGCCAATTCATGTTCTTCCGATTTTTCTCGACAAGGCACACACACAGGATGTGTCTATCCGTATCCACCGCCAGCCCACGAGTTTGTTGTTTTCTGAAGTCAGTGCTCGGACATAGGTTTGGGACGTTTTGCACTGAGAGTTCCAGTGTTTATCATCAATGCCCCTGCAACCATTTTTGACTGGCCTGGCTTCCTTACATCGCGTCTCATAAAAATATTGTTTGACGGGAGAGTTGCCGGTTTTGATCTCCCCCAGCACCGTGACCTGGTGTCCCCGAATGTCGATGGCCGACGACTTGTCGGTCACCCACAGACTCTCACTGTCACATACCGAGTACTCCCCTCGGTGACTCTTATGCTCTGCGTACCGTTTCCGCCGTGATGTTCTGTTCGCCACCACGGGGTTGCCCACGTAATCCTCCATGAGATACAAGGGCGGGGGCTCCAAGGGGGTGCTCTCGCTCAGCAGGACCCGTGGTGAGTTGTAGCGTCTCTGCTGCCGCAGCAGCTCGGTGTCCATTGCAATCACTGGCTGGAATTCTGACTTGGTGGGCTCTCCCCGCTCTGGCTCTCGGGGGGCCTCTGCTTTCGGCAGGGTGCCCTGGTAACTTTCCTTAACGTCCACCACCTGCTTGGAGAGCTTGTTTTTCAAAATATCTGCTTGGATCAGCTTAATTATCAGGGAATTGAGCGAGTCTTCCGGCAAACTCCTTTGATCCATGTTGTTACCTTGGATGCCACGGAGATAAGCGAGGAATATCACATAAAACAAGATGGACATCACCTTGTTCACCTGTAAGATCTGAAAAGGAAACACAGGTGTTAAGAGCAGGCCTGTGGCAGCTGAGTCTGTGTTATTCTGACACCAGCTACCTGAGGCTGAGTATCCCTGTGAGGGCACGAGGGAGGGTACCCCCAGGTGAGCAACGCAGCTCCCCTCTGGACATTCTGAAGAGGCGATTTCTTTCCCCCACCCCCGGGAAATACTGCAGAATGCACTCCAGGTCTGCTGACTCTGCTCTTTGCATGGGTTGCATTTACATCTGAGGTCTGCTTTATCCTGCAGGCTCTGCTTGTGGGCGGATGATGTCCTACTGCTTCTTTAAACATCCCCTGAGCCCGTAAAGACATATCATTCACTCTACCTTAGCAAAGCATGAAAACTTCAAACCTGAGAATTGTAACCATGGAGTAACTTCCCTTCAGCAGCAGCAGCAGCAGCGGTGGCCTTGTAATTGTCTCAAGAAAGAGTTCGACTGCTCCCTAGCTGCGGCCCCTGGAACGCACTGAGACTGAGGACTGGTTCAGTTGCCCCCATATTACGGTGTCATAGGTGGGGTCATCCTCGGCCAGGCCACAGCTGGAGCGGTCTGTTCTCCTGCCTTTGGAAATGAACACGTGGGGCCACTACCCACTCTGCGAAAGGGCCTGCGTTCCAGGGTGCTCTGCTGAGCTCTCTGATGCACACGCATCACCAACTGATCTGCGGCATCCCTGGGACCCTCTCCACAAAACACAGCCCGGCCACAGCACTACTTGCAGAAGACAGAGATGCAGAATAACCACCTCAAATAAATGGACTGGATCTGCCCAGAATAGAAGAGTCACTGTTGATTCACTTTCCTCCTTTAGATTTCTAACATTTCTGCTACAACATGTTCCTTTTAGTGGTTATGTTTCTTCCAATTCTACTATTACCTTGTTTAAATGGCATTCCAACCCCTTAGCCTCTCATTCTGTTGCCATAGTAGAAGCTCCACATTGGGCCCCTGCTGAGTCCTGGTGGAATTACAGTGCTGATCTGGAGACACCTTCATTGCTGGTCTCTCCCTCACTAGAGCAAAGCCCAGATCTTCCAAGGCTTAGCACTGGAAGGAGATGCTCCTGGTGGAGAGGGGCCGCTGAGCTAGCGATCCTGACTTGTACCTGATTTGTCCACTGCCTTGAGATATTCACTCCTTAATTACCATCGCTACCACCTCACTGGCTCCCAGGGGGGTACATCATTTCCTCTTTAAAGTTCTGTCTAAACATGGAAAATAAAAACTCTTCCCCTGGTTCACCTTTGGTACTTTTGGAAAGGCTTTACTAAGTCCAGGGGGAAGATAGAGAGGAGGTAAACAAAGCCGACATAAGAAAAGCAGTCCTACTAACCAACACCCAGGTCTGAGCCTGCCAGTGCTAACTCGCTCCCAGGACTCACAGGGAGCCTCTTTCCCAGCTTGTCTGAGATACCGCTGGCTGGCTTGTCCCGAGAGGCCAGCGACGGTGAGGCACTCTGCTCACACTGCCTCCTCCTGCCACTGTGATAAGGAGGCTATCTTTTTTCCATGGGAACTAGTCTTTGGGACAACTGATTCTTTCAAGGTCAAAGCCAAAAGAGGGATTCTAGCTTTGCCACTCACCCTTGGAGATGACTCTAAGGAATTGTATTATCCTAGGAAAATGGTTCCCACAGGATAAGGAATCTCCCTCCTATTCTGCATACAAGTGACATTTCCTTCAATATTACAGGCCCAGCAAAATGCAACTTGAACTATACAAAAAATATGTCATATGTGCAACTAGGATTACGCTCCCCTCCCCCCAAAAAAGAAATCATTTAGGACTGACAGCCTATTGAAAAACAATGTATTAAATCTCCCAAAAGCTGAGCCACTGTAAGCTAAGAATACACAGGGTATCCACTCTTAAGGAAATAAATCAAGTATGGTTAGTGAGGCGAAGTCCCAGGTAAAATAAGAGTCAAGGTACAGATTAGTGAGGTAATGACCAGGGCGAGCTGAGAGGGAGAATGCTGGCTGATGCTGATGGATTGAGGAGGAAAAAGTAAGAGTCTTTATGGGTGACAGCTGGAATATGGAACCAAAGTGTGTTAGAAGTAGACAAAGCATATAAAGAGACCATCTAATCTTATTCATCTTATAGATGAGGAAAACCTAAATGCAGTTTAAAGAAAAGGAGAGACCCTCAGGGAAGTGAGAGGCGTTCCCTGAACTCCGGCCCTCACCTCCCTTTTCTGTCGTGTGATGATTGGGCTCACAGGCCCCTTGCTCCAACCCCATTCACTACTCACTGCTGCTCGAATCACGATCCACGTGCGCTGCCTCTGCTGTTGAAATTTCACCCGTGTTTCAGTGCCTGGTACCAAAGCTGACTTTTCTGCAATGCTCCGCCAAGATCCCAACAGCAGCACCTGCTGTCTCCTTGCAACCCGGCCTGCTCTCCCGGCGCCTGGCCATTTCTTTCTTACTTGCCGTGATACTTTGTAAGAAGTGGTGGGAGTAAGTCATCCGCAGGCTGGTGAGTGTTTCTAAATGCTTCAGAAGACTGTCTTAAAACCCTGCAGGCTTCCTGTGGACTCCATTTCAATAATCCACTTTTAGCTTTTTTCATAGAGAGCAAGTCCAAGATTGTTGCTAACAGAACACTCCAAAACACAGAGGTTTTCAGCTGGAAAAGACCTTATACAACCTCCTCATTTATACAGATAAGGGAGCTGAGGCCTGCAGTGGTGGTGAAGTGAGCTGTCTCAGGTCAGACTGCTAAACAATGGCAGAGAGTGATGGGGGACGTTTGGTTTGCAGGCTCAACAAAAACCACATGGCTTGTGCACCATCAACGTTATTGTGAGGGGTAAATAATGAAATCCACATGGAAGCACCTAGCATAGTGTCAGGCACAGGGTGAGCACACTAGACATGTTATAGAACATGAACCTGAATGGCCTGTGGCGGCAGGAGATGGGGCACATCTGCCCTTGATGTACACATGTGAGGGGCCCAGCGTCTGGGAGCTCCCTCCTCTGCATCTGGCTCACAGCAATCTGCACCAACACGGTCTCTGCAATGCTTTCCCCTAATGCCATGGTGCCCGAGTGCTCGGATCTCAGCCCACTTATACTGGGTGTGGGAGAAGAAAAGAGTATCATGAACTGGAAGCCCAGGGAACAGACAAATGACGAAAGCAACCACGGGCAAGGGAGAGACGGTATTTCTGAATATGCTGGGGGCAGGAATAGATGGATTCTGATCTCTGGCCACTTTTTGGTCACTGGTATCTTCATTTCTCACTCCATATCCGGGTGGGAGTCCCCAGTGAGACAGTTCCCAGGAGTGGGGAATGGAAACAGGGAGGCAGTGCCAGCTTGACCCAGGCAAGGCACAGTGGTGAGTTTTTCTACTTAGGGGGATGTCTCTGCTCTTTCTCTAGAGGTCACTGCCATCTGCAGAGAACCCCATTTAAGCAATTGTTATATTGTGCTATTATTGTTGGTGTGTCTCCTCTTTGACCACAGGGACCATGTCCTTTCCATCCACACATCCTTGATGCCCAGCACACGGCTAGACACTGCAGTGTTTTGATGTCTATTTACTGAATGAGCGCCTGCTACGATCGAGACCTACCCAAGGCACTGTTTGCTGGCTGGAGAGCCTGTATGGGCCTTTGCCAAGCCTGGCTTTGGAAGCCAATCAACTCTGCCTTCTTTTCCCAAAGAAAATACAGGCCCTGGCTCTGAAGTCGGCCATGGTCCCCAGGCTCTTCTTGGCTATAATTAGAAAAAGACCTGTTAAAGACCTCAGTAAACCCCCTTTCTACACTCTCCCCAGTGCCCATTTCCCCTGCTCGGAGTTTTCCAACATCCTGACCGACGTGCATGTGCGATTTTCCTCACTTAGAAATGCTTTCCCACATATGGTGTTTTCTCAGTCCCCGGAGCAACATTCCTACAAGGTTTCACCATCCCTCAAAATACTCAAAAGAGAGCAATTTCTGATTCCTCCTTTTTGGCTCAGTTTACAGCATCCACAGAGGGTTTGGGGGTATTCGAGAAGCAGCTGACATGGAAGAGGAAGCTGGGGTAGAGAGTGGCACAGGATCTGAGCCCCCAGCAACCTGCGTCTGCCCTGCAGCGATGGGGCTGCAGCCTTCAGATTCCAATTCACCTCTCCAGGACCAGCTTCCCTACACAGGAGCACCTCCTGACCATGTACCTAAAGACCCCTCTTGTTGCACATGTATGGAGTAAATTTTTAGACTGCTTAGGGGTGAGATCACCAAGAATAAAAATGCAAAGTGCCAGGTACTGGCTTACACAAAATCTTAAATCCTGGCAACCACCATCCTCAAGTAGGTACTATTATATTTCCCATTCAGATGGGGAAACTGAGGCACAAAGGGGTTCTGCGACTAGCTAACAAGCAACAGAGCTAGGGTTTGCACTCTCTGGCTCTAGAGCTCGTGTTATTAATGATGACACTCTGCTGCCTCTCTGTCTATCCCTGCTCTCAAATATCCTAGAGAGTTTACTTCCAGGGGAAGCCCAAGCTCCAAGCCTGGAGCCAGGATGGCTGCCGTCAGCAGGCTGTGCCCTTCCCCAAGAAGCCTGAGCTCTAAGCAGAGTTTGCGGAGATGTGAGGCCATCACTCCTATGTCCTCCTCCCCATATCTCCTATGAAAGCATCCCTCGCGAAAGTAAACACAGTCCAGTTCCCCCACCCTAGTCCCTCCTGGGCCTGATGCTCTCCAGAGTAGATCACCTGTGCCTGCGGAGGCCCTGCTGTGGTGGACAGAATACTCAGTGCACCGTCTCACATCCTGGGGTTGAGTCCAGCACTGGAAATCTGGGCGACTTACAAAGAAAGCAGAAAAGCTCTGTTTTAGCTTTCCTCAGGGAGGAGTCATGAGGGCAGAAGTGAAAGCGGTTTTTAATTTGCCAAATTTTTAATATGCAAATTCAAAAGACTTCATTATTTCTGGTGCAGCCATATCCTCTGGAGGCAAATGCATTCTCTGGCTGGG